TTCACCTTTGACACTTTGAATCTTTTTACATGTCATAAATAAAAATCACACCTACAGAGAAAGAAATCTGCAATGATAATAAACGTGTAAAGTAATAAATCCAATTCATTCTTTGAATATGACAACTGGTACTTTACTTTTGATATTTCGAATCTTTTTACATGTCATAAATAAAAATCACACCTACAGAGAAAGAAATCTGCAATGGTAATAAACGTGTAAAGTAATAAATTTAATTCATTCTCTAAATATTACAACTGATATTTTACTTTTAATATTTTGAATCTTTTTACATGTCATATATAAAAATCACAGAGAAAGAAATCTGTAATAATAATAAACGTGTAAAGTAATAAATCCAATTCACCCTTTGAATATTACAACTGGCACTTTACTTTTGATACTTCGAATCTTTTTACATGTCATAAATAAAAATCACACCTACAGAGAAAGAAATCTGCAATGATAAAATAAACGTGTAAAGTAATAAATTTAATTCATTCTCCAAATATTACAACTTGTACTTTACTTTTGATTTTTCGAATCTTTTTACACATCATATATAAAAATCACACCTACAGAGAGAGATAAATCTTCCAGACGAGTCTCGTCTGACAACTCGTAATAATAAAATAGTCTGTTCGACAATGCACCTTGAATAGATTATCTCCCCGGGAAAGGGGTGCAGATTGTTGAAATGTAGGGTCCGTTTAACTCCACGGACGGGGGGCCCGTGTTCCCCTGTTCGCCGCCGCGAAATGAAACGTGGGTGCACGGTCCGACTCTGTTTCCCATCTAATCACTGCTTAACTATTCAACGACCCTGTCCCTTGAAATAGAGTTTTACCATACGCAGGTTGTGTGCACTCGAGCCCCATTTACCAGTACCGCTAGTTAACAACCGCCACGGGGTCGTACAGGCTCATTTGCTCGTGATGCTCATTGATGGAAATCGCGTGCGTTTGATACGCGACTCTGTTAGCTCAGTCGGTCGGACTAAAGTGGAGGAATCACGTCGTAAATTGATGGACGTTGACCTTTGAGACGGTAATTGAGACAATAGCCAGATACGATGTCGCGGAACGTTCCTCGTAGGTGAAGGTAATGCCTTGAAATTGATGAAGTGAGAAGAATCTCTAAAGAGGACGACGTTCGACAGGGCTGTTTCAATCGATTCGCCAGGCGTAATGTGTAATTACGTTAATTGATCGTCAATTTCGAAGTGAGTGACTTGGAATCGAGTTACGGAGGAAGGAATCGAGTTACGGAGAGAGAGAGAGAGAGTTAGATTGAAGCTTAGGAATTAATTTTCGTTAGGTTAAGATGCCACGAGATTGTTCAGTTTGAAAAATTGAAATAATCGTTTCGATATCTTTCTCAAAATATTTCACGAAATAAATCTGGCAGATGAAACGTTCGAGAACAAGTTTGAATCGTCCTGTACGTTTACACATTTTCATCTTCCCTTTCAACGTTGATTCGCTTTCCTTCCGTCTCGGTACGCGTGTCCGTTCGGTTTTCATCTTACGAAATGCACAATCCAGGCAGCCGATACAAAGCTGCGGGGCGAAAAAAAAAAAATCTTCGACCGAACGCAACGAATGGAAAACTGACCTGATTTCCGAAAACGCCGATGCTGCACGCGCTGCTGACCTGGTCCGGACCGAACCAAACAGCTGCCAGACGAGCCGGTACCGATAGAATGAACGTTTGACTTAGGGCAACCAACGATTGGCCGAGGAAAGTAATCCAGAAACGATCCGGGCTTACGCTGAACACTTTTATCCAAGATCCGAACGTCGTCCCGATCGCCCCTGCTAAGGCAGCGAACCTCAGCCCCTGAAATCGCAAGGATTCAATGATTATTAAGAAATTTAGAACAATTTCGTTTTTAAAGACAAATTTCATTCGCATATAAATTGTGACGTCTGCATTTCGCGACGGAAATCGTCAGTCGCTATCTTCGAGAATAACAAAGCGATGTTATCGAGATCAATTAATTCGAGGCGCGTTTGTTTTGACAAAATGGTCAAACAATGTCTGTTCCCAGTGTTTCGAAATGTCGAAAAGATTGTTTGAAGTCTAACGACTTGAGCTCAAACTCAACTTGCTTAATCGAATTATCTCCGTTCGAGATAAGTTTACAAGTGTTTGCTCGATCCATTAATCCTCGAGACATAATTGCCTCGTAGGTGATGTTAAGCACTTTCTCTGTTGCATTTCAAAACATCTTCAGGGAATTAAAAAAAAAAAGAAAAAAGTGAAGGGGAACGAAAAATTCTACTTCTTTGGGGGGAATCAAAGATCCAATCGAAATGGCGAGAACAATTAGAAAAATTGAGGATACTAGATGCAATTTGTTTGTAATCTGATATCTTTCATTTCTTTGTCGAAGGCCTGAATGCAACGAGAGTATGAAAGTCAAGTTTTGTCCATGTACATTTTATACGTCACTCCCGATAACAAAACGGATTAGATTAAACTCCGTTAAATTAAATTACACGGTTTGGATCGAATCGGTTGTAGATAACGCAGACAAATTTTTCCAGACGTTTCTTTAACCTCTTGCGCTGGAATGACGTGCCACGCACGTCGAGAATTTTTTGTCCCAAAATTCCAATATTTTCCCAGTTTTAAGTATATTAATATTAAGTATATTAAGTATAGTAATATTAATATTAAGTATATTAAGTATATTAATATTAATATTGAGTATATTAAGTATATTAATATTAATATTAAGTATATTAAGTATATTAATATTAATATTAAGTATATTAATATTAATATTAAGTATATTAAGTATATTAATATTAATATTAAGTATATTAAGTATATTAATATTAATATTAAGTATATTAAGTATATTAATATTAATATTAAGTATATTAAGTATATTAATATTAATATTAAGTATATTAAGTATATTAATATTAATATTAAGTATATTAAGTATATTAATATACACAATAATACATTAATATATACAATAATACATTTATCACTTCTCAATAATCCAGTGATATCACACCGACGAGTTCAAAAAGAAAGCGACGAATTCTTGTGTATACGATTTGGTCACTCGTTACGGTCCGCAGTCCAGTTGCCAGCGCAAGTGGTTAAGCGAGAGGTTGGTTGGTTTAAGCGATGAAAATCATCGAACTTACGAATCTGTCGAGCAGATAGCTCGCTGGAAAGATAAACGGAATGTAAGTTATCATGTAAATCATGCTGGTCATGTCCACCGAAAAGCTGGACACGTTGTAGTAGGCCATTATGATGTTGGCGATGATGCTGTACTGGATCCATTGCATCGCATTGCTGGCGCTATATAGCACGAAGATCATTAGGATCAGCCATCGTCGTTTGTACACCTTCGTCTCAATGATCTGCGGAGAAAAAGAGATCGTTTTGTTGAAACATCCGAGAAAACGATCTGAAACGGGGAGAGAAAGACAGATCGCTTTGATCTGAATTTTCTTCGCCAGTTAGAAGTTAGAGTCTATTTGAACTTTGCACCGTTGAACATCGTTGAACTCTAAATTCTCGAGTGTCATAATTTAAATTTCTCTGTACCCTCGGACCGTCAAGTACCTCAGAGTACCGTGACCTAAATTTCTCTACGCTTGAGATCCATTAAACCTAAGCTCTCGAGTACCTGCGCGCCAAGTATGTGTCTCTGCACTTGCAATTAGCATACTTGCAAATTAAATCCCCTAACGTCTAACCCTTCATCGTAATTTCTCGATAATCTCTCTGTTAATATTTATCTTACATCTCTTTGTATCTCAATACATTGATATATCGATATATATATAAGAAAATATTTAAATATCTCCAAAATTCACAAACAGAGTACCAAGGCTTCTTTGATTTTCAGAAAATTTATTAACACACACTGAACAAGGTGACAAGGTACGAGTTCCCGAGTGGATTGCTCGAATTCAGAAGTAGCTTCAGTTTCAGAGAACGTAGTCACCTGAGACGGTTGAACGCCGCCCTCGATTGCCTTTACATAGTCCACCGAGTTTTTCATTTTCGTATCCTGTCCTTGTTCCATGATTCACCGGCGGAGAGCCAACTGAAACCAAGTTGTAACCAATTTCACCCTGATCGATTTCTCCTCTTCGTTTCTTGGAATTTCTCGATTTTTCTTCTCGATTCACTCGGCGAGTGTTCTTCCGTTCTTCCTCGATCGAATCGACTCTCTGAGAAAAAAAAAAAAAAAAACAGATTGGACAAACGTGCAGCGAGAGATGTTTGTCTGACAAACGGGAGGGAAAAGAACGGGACACGGAAATGTGTTTCCAAGGTTTGAGAGAGAATTCTGAACGAGTGGTTTCTTCCTCGTCCAGTGTAAACGCACACTTAAGTCTAGCCAAGATCTCGTGATTTCTCGCGCCGAGGCTTAGAGTACCAATTAGTGGCCAACAGGCTTCTCGGAGCCTCAACAATGAATTCGAACGTGGATGCTCTGGAAAAACGTACCGAGATTCTCTTGCAGTGTCCCTGACGAGAAGTGTCCTTCGTTGTCTTCCTCTTTTTTTTCTTTTTCCTCCTCTAACAATCAGATTTTTCCACTACTTGTCTCGTGACTTGAAAATTGCGACAAAAGAATCACACGATTATTTTAGGAAAAAAAAAAAAAAAATGCGCTCGAATGCTTGTATAACGACAGAAGGATTTTGAGGAACGTTTGTTTGTGATTCATCGTGCGGCAATGCGAATTGATCGTTATAAGGCCGACGGAAGGAACAAATCGTTATTCGATGAATAAACGCAAACAATGAATTATTTATAAGGATCGTGCTTCGATTTCCAATGACAGCTTGGACGCGTTTTGACGGGCAATTAACAACGACAGATAGATTGACGACCGTATTTGGCTCGTATTTGAATCTTCTGGACTGTAATCAATTGTGTAATCAGTGATTAATAGTAAAGTTTAGGCATCACGTTGCGATAAAAGCGGCAAAATACAGCTCGCGGAAAAGTACGTTTTGAGAGGAATTGGATATTATTTTTTTGTCAATTAGAGGAACGACGTAATTCCAAGTAACACGAATAACGAGAGATATTACGTGGATCAAGAGGAGCAATATAATTCCCTTCTATCGACCAAATTATGACAATCAATGAAATTTTGACAATCGGCCAAGGACTGAAACTGCGCAATTTTTATAGCAATAACTCGAAAATATATATATCGAAATATATAAATATATTATATATTATAATAATATAAATATATATATTTATATTATACTTTTTATATTTATAATTATATTTTTGTTGTTATTTATATTATAAATATATAATATATTATAATATAAATAACAAAAAAAATATAATTATAAATATAAAAAGTATAATATTATATATATATATATATATATTTATATTTCAATATATATATTTCCGAGTTATTGCTATAAATATATAATATATTATAATATAAATAACAATAAAAATGTAATTATAAATATATATATTTATATTATTATAATATATAATAATACTATATAATATTATAGTATATATATAATATATAATAAGTAATATTATAGTATATTTATATATTTATAACATATATAAATATTATAGTATATTTATATATTTATAATATATATAACGAAAATATATAGCAATAAATCACGGTTTTTCCTTTTTTTCTGTCACAGGAAAGAAAGCGACACGCATCTCCTTCGAATTCAACAATCTTCGAACTTAAATTCACTCGTAGACTCCATTCAACCGCAGATTCCCTGTTTCAATTCACCTTATACTTAAGTTTCCCCAAGTTGCGCTACGATAATTTAAACTACGACAACGAAGGACATTTACACAGAATTCAGTACAAAAGGAATATAGAAATTCCCCTCCTCCTCTCTTCCCGTGAAGACTCGTCAACGAAGGATGGTGAGAGCGTTTCACAGGGTCAACGGAGGGAAAAGCCATAATTCCACGATGAAAATTCCGTAGAGAATCGGAGTAAATGATCCTTGAGCACCGGTAACTCGTGTAACTCGGTGGTTCGACCTTGCGCTCATTATCGTAAAAAAAGATCGTTCTCGTATGATTTATTCTAATGAACGTGCCCGGTTAACGCATCCGTTAGAGATACAGAGTGCGAAAACGTTCGAACATGTTTATCGCGAAGAGAATTTTCACGGATATATTATATTACGCCCACGTTCTTATGGAATTTAATTCATTAAACGTGAAATCGTGCCTTCCACACGAGTTTCTCGCTTATTTCTCTGTTTGATGAAGTTCCAAAGAAGCATAGTGAAATATAAATTTGAAAAATAGAAGGATAATTTCGAAAACAGGGAGCTTCGTATAGATCAAAGATTAGACTAATGTAATTAAAATTTCAATGCACGCAGCGCGCAAGTCGGAATTATAATTTTTGTAATTGTGGTTGGGTATGATGCGCGAGACAAGCCTCGTGTCTTTTATAAGCCGAGTGGAAAATTCGCAAGTTTCCGTAAACGGAAAATTTACGTCCCTTTCGCACGGAAAAATTGATTTCCCACGGCGAGAATTTCCACGTTCCCTTGGGAACTCCAATTTACTTTAAATTACGGGCGCAACATTTCGAAAAGATATAAAAAAAAAAGAACTCTCGTCTCAGTGATGATTAAATAGCTGAATGAAAATTGTGCGTTCCTCGTGTGAAAATAAGAAAATTAGAATAAAATTAATAAATAAAAGTTAAAATAGAAAAATAAAAATTAATAAAATTAATAAGCAAAAATAAAAATTAAACAATGCAATGTAAGTTCGTGTTTACGAAAAATATTGCCGAAAATAAATAGTCACTCGAACAACGCGATACGTTAATCTTGGAAAATAAAATAAAATAAAAAAATAAAAATTGATAAATTTAATAAATAAAAATTAAAATAAAAAAATAAAAATTAATAAATAAAAATAAAAATTAATCAATGCAATGTAAGTTCGTATTTAAAAAAAAATATTGCCGAATAAATAGTCACTCGGACGACGCGATATGTTAATCTTGGAAAATTAAAATAAAAACACAAAAATTGATAAATTTAATAAACAAAAATTAAAATAAAAAAATAAAAATTAATCGATGCAATGTAAATTCGTGTTTAAGAAAAATATTGCTGAAAATAAATAGTCACTCGAACAACGTGATACGTTAATCTTGGAAAATTAAAATAAAAACATAAAAATTGATAAATTTAATAAACAAAAATTAAAATAAAAAAATAAAAATTAATCGATGCAATGTAAGTTTGTGTTTAAGAAAAATATTGCTGAAAATAAATAATCACTCGAACAATGCGATACGTTAATCTTGGAAAATAAAATAAAATAAAAAAAAATAAAAATTAATAAATTTAGTAAATAAAAATTAAAGTAAAAAAATAAAAATTAATAAAATTAATGCATAAAAATAAAAATTAATCAATGCAATGTAAGTTCGTGTTTAAGAAAAATATTGCCGAAAATAAATGGTCACTCGAACAACACGATTCATTAATCTTGGAACATAAATGTCGATATTAAGCGTCCCATAAATGTTTTCCTTTCGCATTGTTCAAAATTCTCGAATAATTCGATCGATACGAGATTGAGAAAACCAACGAACACGATGCTTTCGAATCGCTCGATCTCGCGGGAAGGAAAAATCAATGAAAAGTCGATCGAGGAATCAGCGTGAGTTTCGTCCGGAATTCTAGGTTTTAAGGTCAAGGATCATAGGGCCAGAGGAGAAGCATTTAACGCGTCGGCCGCTACTGTAGAGACATCCCGAGAGTTTCCCGAATTGCAAATTTCAATTTGAATTTACGGCGAAACTCCATCAACGCTCTAGCGTTCGAGTATGATTATTCGAGCAAATTCCAAATCGTATTAATTCTCCGCGCTTTGTACAGCCGATGAATCACGAAGCGTGTGAAAGCAGAGGAACTTGATAGAATTGCGCTCAAAATAAAATGTTTCCATGAATGAACGACACGTGTGACATACAATAAAACGATCCTGCAGCGAACGTTGAATGGACGAACGATGAAATGTTCTCTCAGCAACGTGTTTTAGACATAGATAGACAATTAGATATCAAATTTACTGGCTATCGTTTGGGATTCGAGTAATTTAGATTGTGTATCTTTTCTTCTTAACTGTGCCGCGAACCATGTAATTGGTCGTTGAATGTGCGTGATTTATTTATTCATCTTCGTTTGGGGAATTTTTAATAAAAACAAAAAGAGCCTCGAGCCTATCTTTTATCCGCGATTTCTTCTTTTATCGTCCCTTTGTGTCCCGCGAAACAATTGAAGAACCGCTGATTCGAACCGACGCTTTGAAAACTCTTGTAACGATAAGCAAGATAAACACGAAAGTTCGACGTTTGCTTACAAGCGTGCGGAATAATTAGAGACGAAAATGGGATGATCTGTCAGTAAATTTACACCGGTGGCCGCGAAAAGTATTCAAGCACGTACATAATTTATTTACCGACGACGAAACGTTTCATTTATTGACCTTCGTAGCATTGAATTTCAAATGTATAATTAAATGACAGGAAATTTAATACACTTGGAATCTAATTAACTGCCGCGCGAATAACTATCGTTAATACAATGGCGTGCAAACAACACTTTGTGCAGCTGTGCGGGAGACCGAATTTTCCCCACTGAATTTCGGGAATTTAAATTCCCGATAAATCACGGCCTGTGAACCTTTTGCCTGTGAAATGCAATTACGCTCGGCATTTGTGCCCGCGCGCAAATTTCGACGCACAATATTTCGCTTCGAACGTCGACGAAGCGCGATTGTTTGACTTAATCATCGTTCTCGTTTCCGCCTCGAAACATCGCTCGTTCCTTTCGGGAAGGGGTGAGGAAAAAAAGAAAAAAAGAGAATGTGACTTACCTGAACAGGATGAGACGCGATGATCCTGTAGATCCAGCGATGATCGGTGATTGAGAGAGACTATCGTCTCCCGAGACCGTGTCTTCGACGACGCTCATAAAGTCACCGTTTTTATCGTTTTCACCAATTCTCACCGAGTTTTCAGTCACGAGCGCGAGTCCGCGAGAACGCACGGCCGAGTCCACGTGGATCGACTCGTTCTCCGCTGCCGGTCGCTCCGACCTATCTATCGTTCAGTCACGCGCCGTTTCCGCGATTAATCACCGGCAGATTCATCAAACGAGACAGAGTGAACGCGCGAAATGTGTCTGCGAAGCATCGAACTAATGGAAAATCGTGCTAATGGGGGAAAAAGAATTGCAGAGTGAAAAATCGTCGAACGGAGAGAGAAAGGAAAGATCCAAGGAATTTTCAAGGATCATCGAAACGATTTCTCGTCAATTGATTTCTTTCTTTCTTCTTTCAAATAAAACAGAGAATTTTACAGACAGATTGAATCACAGTTCTCCACGCATTTTTTGTTCTCGTGGAGAAATCAACGTGATACTCTCTCTCTCTCTCTCTTTCTTTGTTGTGTACTATCGATCAGTCGGGTTGGGGTACAGGTTACTCGACGTATATGACAAACAGACTCCTTCGTTCCTTCGTTCAACGGCGAATGAAATGAAAAGGTCCCTCGGGGGAAAAAAAAAAAAAAAAACGTCGATCAAAAAGTGGAGAAGGCGTTGAGAAAGGTGTTGCGTCGTGCAGTCAGGCGAGCTCGTCTGTCATGGCTGGTCGCAAGCCGATGCGACATCCGAGTCCACGGAGAGCTGGACATTAACTAAATCCGATAGATTCGCCGCGGCTCGCACCACCTACACGTCCTTCGTTTGATAGCGGCCTCACGCGCATCGACGAAACGCCGCTCGATCCATTGCTTCTGCGCGAGATTTCCGATGCCTCGAGCCCGCGATAACGGACTCTTTCTTCTTCCAATTATTTTTCTCTCTTTTGTTTTTTTTCTTTCTTTCGTTCGTTCTCTTTCCTCCGGGAGGGCGCGATCTCGCGGATCTAGAGGATCTGCTCGCTCCATTTGTTAAAGTGGATTTTTGTTTTGAAATTGAAAGAGGCCCGATGATGATGATGCCGATATTCGCGGAATGAACGCGAATGAACACGAATCGAAGAACACGAGTTCTCTCCTTTTGTTTTGGGTTTTAGCTTCGACAAGGCTTTCGATGCACTCGTTCCCACGTGCACGTAACTCGTCGCTGTACGATCACACCGAGCGAATGCTCGTTCGTTCCCCTCCCCACTCTGGCCGAATTTATGCTTGCATCGATATCGTCGTGTGTGTTCGCGAAACGAATGTATAATAAACGTGCACGAATTTCCCGGAGTACGGTAGGCGAACGAGCGAATTGGTAAAAACTTGGAAACTATCCGAGTAAATAAATAAATAAATAAAGCGTCTGTTCACGGTTCGCGTTACCTTTGAAAATTTGAAGAATTTCAAGACGATATTCGACGAAGATAAGTTGAAGAAAAATTCGACACGCGTGAAAGAGAAATGAAAATTTTCTTCGACTATCTCTCTGACGAGAGATTTTATATAGATACGACTCGAGAGTGAGATTAATTTAATTAATTTATCGAACGATAAGAAAGAATAGGGAGGGTAATACACGTGAAATTTTAATTTAATTTTCAATCGTAATACGATTGTTCGATCAAGATGAGAATCTATGTTTCTCCATTCACTTTCTGTTTAAACAATGAATACGTATCTTCTCTTGATCGATCGAGTAAAAGTCGAAACGATTCGAACGATCAACGCTGTCACATTGATCGACGTTGTTAGATCGATTCAGCGTTAAGAATGCTGACTCCTAGAGAAAACGAATAATCCTCTAACTAGAAAATAATGAAATAGCACAACACTGACACTCATACATTTTAAACATCCGCAATAACGTTGTTGTAAATGAGAAACAAAAAATACATTTGAACCGAAACAAAGATAACATAAATAAAAATAACACCGAAATAAAGATAACACCGAAATAAAGATAACACCGAAATGAAGACATTTGAAAGAAACAAAAATAATTCTTGCTAATTATTGGACGATAACAACATGAATCACACAGCCAGCGAGAGTTGTGGCGAATTAACGTTTTAAATCTTTTAACGATGAAACTTCATTCGGACAAATCGTTCGTAATAACGGAGAAATCTGTATATATAAATAAATCCTGTATGCCATAATCCAGTATGAAGCATCGTTTAAAAATAGAAATACATTCATCTTGTTAATATTAATATTCAACACACTGATACGTCAATGTTCAATATTAATATTCAACACACTGATATGTTAATCCAATACATTCGTTCGATCCTCAGTTTCCATTAGTTTCAAAAAAAAAAAAAAAAAACTAAAAGAGAAAATATAATTTGTACTAAACCAAAAGAAAATATCGTTGTACATACTTTGTAACTGAAAAAAAAAACTACTCTGATTAACGAGTCATCGAACGCGAAAAGGAACCAGCACCTTAACCGAAAAATGTTACGTAAACATTTTGCGGAGAGTACGAATAGTAGACGGACCTGTCTGTCTGACCAGACGCGTAATTATCCTACTTCGCGATGGAAGAACAGAGACAAAGGCAAAAAAAATTTTGGAGTATTATAGCATCGACTATCGCGAACAACGATGCAAATATAAATGTTCGTTTAAACGTAAAGTTTCTTTATCTGAAAGCTCGTCACGCGTTCGGTGGAAAGCTCGAACCGATCGAAATCAGACACGATTATATAGTTGCCGGTTAAATGGTTGGGGAGCATCGTTGTTTATCGTGATCATTATCGTCGGTTAGACGTCTGTTGACGAAAAACAACAGGCAATAGCTGAACGCAACTGACAATGTGTCAGGATGACACAGAGGTACTAATTGCTCGGTTCGTGCTCGGAGCGTGATAGCAAACCGAGCAAACAGGATCTTCCGAGAATATAGCTGGCCTAAGTCCTCGCAAATCCGACTTTACTGACGGTGAATACAGTCGATCTCGTATCGCCGAGCCGGATCTGTAGTAATTGCGCTTAACCGATCGTAAATTGCGAAAACTCTCAGACATCTAGTCAAATTTTCGCGGAACATCTCTTTCGTGTTCAACATTATACGCGCATTCGCGATATTGTATTGTATTGATTTATAATTGTATTTTATTAATTAAAATATAATATTATTGTATCGTATATATTATATTTTATAATATAGAATATAATAATATTACATTTCAGTAATTAAAATATAATATTATTATCGTAGTATATATATGTATATAAATATAATATTTTACAAGATATAATAATATTTTATATACGTAAATATAAAAATATAATATTTTGGAAAACATAATAATATTTTATATACGTATATAAAAATATATTTTACAAAACATAATAATATTTTATATATGTATATAAAAATATAATATTTTACAAAACATAATAATATTTTATATACATATATAAAAATATAATATTTTAATCAGCAAAATTGGATTAAAGTTTCAGTGTGTTACGTATTTTGTGAAGACACGGGAAAAAAATATGTTTTGTTTATTAATAATATGGTAAAAGTACATCTCTCTCAAAGTTCTGGTAAGAACATAAAAAGGAAAAGAAGATATCGACGTGAATATGATCGAGTTCTTTCTTTTTCAAACAATGTAATTTTCCTTTTATTCGAGCTTTAAATTAATAATGAGAAAATAAAGTTAGATATCATTTTCTCAAAAGTATAGCACATTTGATCCAACGTATTGTTCAGCGGAAATAGAACGTTTGCTGTGTTTGTGATTGCAAAGTAGATACTTTCAAGTAGAATACGCGTTGGAAAGATCAATCTGTGAAATTAACTTTTAATCAATTTCGAGAACTTTTTGAATAACCGCGCTGCTTGATCAGATAACGAACTGAACACGATCCACTAAAACGTTTCCAGAAATTGCTTATTTACAAAATTCCACTTATTTATATTTTTATATAAATTATAATTATAATAATTAAATTATAATATTTATATAAATTATAATTATATTTTTATATTATATATTTATATTTTTATACTTTTATATTTTTATATATTTTATTTTTATATATTTTTATATTTTTTATATTTTTATATTTTTATACACGTTAGAAATTATTATATTTTTAGTTTTATATTTTTATATTCTTATATATTTTAAATTTTTATTATATATTCTTATATATTTTAAATTTTTATATTTGTATATTTTTATATTTTTTCTTCCTCAAAAAAAGTTTCAAAACAACTCTTATCGTTTCGTGTTAAAGTAGTTTGCGAGAAATATCTCTCCTCTCAGGAGCTTTAGCATCTTTCAAGCTTTAGCTTGATCCGAATTTATCCTTTTAACAATTGTTTCACGTTCGAAAAAAAAATATCTTCCTTCTTCCGAAGTAGAACACGCCCAATTCGTCAACTTGTCGCACAATATTGGCATTATGTTTGAACAATTATTGTGTCACCGGATTCGATCCGACCTCGTTAAACTCAAAATCAAACAACCGAGATAAGACACGTCATTGATAAAACATTTTAGTGGCGATCGATCATTTATCTACGTTATGTAGCTTGCTGCGCGTCGCACGTATGACACAACGTAAATTATTGTGTTCCCTGACTTGTTCGAGTTGCTCCTCTCCGGTTATGCAACGTTTTTCTTCTCTCTGCGTACGCACATATCGGCGCAAAAAGAAAAAGAAACGAAAAGAAAAACGAGAAAGTTTGTTCCGATTCGTTGGTGTTTGATGCCAAAAGAAGCTCCTTATCTATCTATTGAATCCTCTTATCTATCTATCTGTCACTTTTCTATTTCTTTCTCCTTTGTTCCTTTTTTGCGAATTAATTATCAAATTGAGATAGACGTTAACTGCATAGTTCCAGGATGATTTTGATTTCCTTTCGGATATTTTCCTCCAAAAAAAAAAAAAAAAAAAAAAAAAAAAAAACAGACTATTCCCCGTGATCGAATCGTTATCGATAGCAAACGTTAATAAAAATAATTAAGACAAACACTCGTGTTTGTATCTCCATTGCTGCAAACACGTCACATAAAAAAATATCTCAATTTCTCGACGATACGTATGCTCGAAAGTTCGCTTTCCCAATCTAATCGACGATTATCGAGAAATGACGACAATGTTTATAACCGCAACAATAAAGGTCTGAAGTACCAGCTAGTAGTTAAGTCACGATAACAATTAGTAGAAAGTTACTAAAGTTTCAAGGATTCAGCGAAACGGAATAGTACGCAAGCTGAATACTGGTCGATACAATTCACAACCCCGTTATCAGCGTTCGCTGATAAAAGTTACAAACAGTTGGAAAGTTGCACGAGAGTTGCGGTGTCTATCTGGCCGGGGCGTTTATCTAATCGAAGGAAGACGTAATAGGAACGAAAAGAATTCATACCTGAGATAGCGGCTGATCAGAATGCTGGTTAGTTTGAAGCAGAAGGTCGCTCGACTCTTCTGGAAAATCTTGAATTTCGCTCATCGTCGTTGGCCGTCGAATTCACAAGCTCGATGTCGATTTCGATCAACGATCCTGCGTTCTTTTTTTTCCTTTTTTTTTTTTTTTTTGTTTACGTTCTTCCGACTGTTAAAGCACGCGAGAACTACTGCCGACGATTCTTCAAATGCAAATGAATCGAGTTTTTTTTAATCGCGTTTCAGTCAATTGAACATTCCTGATACCGTAGAAAATCGTAACGAAGCAGAATTAATGGAAGTTTTACGAGCATGTGTCACGAAACGCGCGATTGATTAGAACTGAAGA